CATCTTTCCTTAAAAACTGTGGAAAATTTGGTCGGATGACCCCAAGAAGGAAACGTTAATTGCCTCATAAAGTCTGAAATCGGTGATATGAGCAACGCAATAAAAAAAATGTACAAGACTGTCGTTTAGATTAAAGATTAGAAAGAGAAGACAAGAAAAAAAGGTGAATTTTATTTTTGCCACTGGTAAGAAAATTCTATTTTTTTTATTACTTTAAAAAACTGTATTTCTTTTGTAACTATTGAAGCGAAAAAGAAGACAGTTAAAGAAATAAAAAGTTTATTTACCATTACTCAATTATAAAATGTTCTTAAATTAGGTGTCTGTTACAGAATTTTTGAAAGCAGTGTTTACTTTTTTTTGCCAATATCAACCAATTTTGCAAAAATACCTTTTGAATTGTTCCTTGAAAAATTGTCACTTTGGTAGAAACTTATAGACTAAAGATGAAACAACGGTTTCTGACGGCTGGCAACATTCCTTCTACGTTCTTTTCATGTATTACTCGTTTTAACGGTCATCGTATGGTTCTGTAGATGTTCCGGAAAACACTTAGTAAAGTTAAAATATAAACCTTTGAAATTTCAATGACTCTAGTGGAGTTGTAGATAGTTGCTTCTAAAAATGCATAAGCTGTTTGAAAAAAAAAGTGTTTATTGTGATTATTTAACTGTCAGTTTACTTTTTTCCTCTTTTACTCGAATTTTTGTTTGTTTGTTTATTTGTTTGTGGCGTGATTATTCAGCTGGACAGATTAAAAATATTAAAAACGTATGATGTGGATTGAATCTTAAGCAATGATCATCAACTGTGAAAGAGTGGTATGCAGCTATTGTTTGCGAGGGACAGGCTGTTGTTGGATGAGGGGAGAAGGAGAGGAGGAAGGAGAAGAAAATTTGGTGACAAGCCGAACTAAAGAAGCGGCAAAAGGATTGAGGAAAGGCTGAAGAAAAGGACTGAGCAGGAGAGTAATAATATCACTAGTCTTGATTGAGTTTATTGTTTCCCAAATGGAAGAGACCACTTTGATTAAGCTTTTTTCACTCCTTTCATTCTTCTCTATCTCCCCCTCTAATTTGTGTCTCATTTGTCCCCAATTCAGTGGAAAAAAGAAAAAAGAAAAAGAAAAAAGAGATTTTCTTGGAGACCAGTTAACTTTCTTGTTTGAGCTGCAAAGAATTTTTCGCTAAATGTTGCCACCATTGGTGGTTAATATAGATTTGACAGCCTTAGATTTTTCACTTAAATATCTTCCCGAGCATTTCAGTAAATCTTTATGCAATTTTTTTCTTTCCTTTTTTCTCCTCTATTCTGTATATTTTCTCCTGTTGTCTCTTTTCAAACAATTTATCGTTTTTGCTCTTTGGACTTTTGAAGTGGTCAACAGTCTTTCTGGGGCTCTTTAGCAAATGTGCAATGGTTTTTATTTGGTGGACACATTCGGAACTTACAAACGATCAGAGATAATTCTTACATATTTATTCAGTTTCTGGATTTCCAGGCGCATTATTGACACTGTTTTTGTGCCATTGATAGATCAGACACTGCCGTGACCACCTCCCCCTCTCCAAATCCCTTTTTTACACTGTGGTCAAAGGGAACAAAAATTGTCCCATCTTTAGTGGGACAGATTTTTTTGCGTGCATAAAAGGTGGCAGTGACCAAGCAGAGATTTATTCACTTTAGATTCAAACTAACCGAAGACAATTTAGAGTAACAGTTCAGGACTGATACAGTACAAATTTGTTCTACAAAAAATAATTGGTGTTTTTTTTTGGTTGATTATCAATGCTTAGTTGTGTCAGCTAAAAAGAAAAAACAAAAAAAGAAGCTAATTCCTATTTTATTGGCACGTAAAATAATTCTTTGTTTTATATACTATTTGTTTTCATTTTTCCTCTGCACTTAATCGTTCTATTTTAGAAATTTTAGTTTTTTTAGTGCAATTTTATGCTAATTTTCAAAGGGGAACAGAGTCTTTTTTTTTCTCAGAAAATTATCATCTAGTTGTAGATTTACTGCACACAATTAGTTTGTAGTAGCACAATAAAAATAATGCTTAAACAACAGCGTTAACAATTCTTTAAGACAAATATTTACAACAACTACTTGAAGATTTAATTTTAAAATAATGGTGCAGCAGGGGATAAGAAAAAAAGAGAAGTAATGTTATCTAGAAAAAAAGGAAATAAGACAGAAGAACAATTAAATATCTTATATGTTGGTTCCTAATAAACCTCTCGTTGTTCGGATATTTGAATTCTGTTTGGTCTTCTTAAGACCAGTTTATTATTCTGCGATCTTTCTGTGTTTCTGTGTGCCAGTTTTATGTATTTTGTGAATAGTTGCCTTATGGAGTATGTAAATCGGTGAAGTTGGTGTATTTAACGGATTCTTTTATGTATCTTTTTTTCCCGTTATTTTTTTTTTTGTTTTAGAGAATTTAGTGATAATTAAGACCTGTTAGTTGATCTATGGTTAACCAGTATAAAAATTTTAGAGTTAAGTATCATGCAAAGAATCAGTTCATGGTTTGAACAGCTACCGTTACGTCGTCGATCGTCACAACGGCGAACTGAGAGTCGACATTTGCAAAAGCAATCAAAATCTGCAGCTCCACGTTTACGCTACAGTGTTTCGGCAGTTCAACAGCATAAATTTCGAGATCATTCGGCAGATGGTTACGCAAATTCACTGGTCAAACAAGATCAGCAATACGGTATAGGAACAATTTTTCTTGTTCTCATTCTGATTATTACCATAATATTTCCAAAAGAAAAAGTGAAAAAAAA